CAACATTTTACAAAACCTAATTCTGACTTTTTCTAAAAATTCGGACTTTTTCTCAAAATCTAAAAAATCTGACTTTTTCCTCAAAATGTTGGCTTTTTCTCAAAATCTAAAAAATCTGACTTTTTTCCTCAAAATGTTGACTTTTTTTAATCAAAATCTCAAAAATGCGGACTTTTTTTTTAAATCACAAAATTTGGACTTTTTCAAAAAAGATCTCAAAATTTTGACTTTTTCTCAAACATTTCAAAATATTAAATCTCCCTAGGCCCCGGCTTGAGCTTCAGTCTCAGGATCCATGTATCTGTGATCCTCTCCAGAATGGAAGTAGTCATCACATACAGAGCATCAACTAGTTCCTGAACAGTGTCCTTCACATGCTGATATCCAAGAGAGGGAGTTCCACAGTCACAAGATGGAGGAATAGAAAGCAGTATTCAATGTTTACTTCAGATTAGCTCCACGTCAGAAATGATCATGCTTGTCATATGTCTCTCTCCATAGAGGCTGAATCATCATGTTAATCACATAGCTATCATATGCCTCAAACAGTCCTGATGCTCTTCTAGGTAATCACACATCCTGTCATGTTCACAGCTACAGTTGATACCTTTGTTAGCATGTTACTCTGATGTTGGAGGAGGACATTCAGGATTTTCAGTTATTGTACTGTCTTTCCCCCGACAGTATGGGTGAAATCAAGATGGACGGAAACAACTCCTAGTTTTGATGATTTAATCAAATCCAAATAGGTTGTTAACCTTAGAAGAAGAAAAAGAACAAAAACAATACAACAATTAGGATCACACATATCCCACACACATTAAATCACATTCAATATAATAATCACACTCACTAGTGGCCTCTCCTGATTCCTCAATCTCAATGACGTTAATTAATTTATCCCCTCTATTTATAACACATCAATAAACCCCGCGAATCTCCACCCAGATTTAAAGTCACACTCACATAGACTGAACCTCATACACCCAGCACAAACCATGAGTTTACAGTACAGTTATTGTTATTGTTATATCGTTGTTGTTTTCTTGCTGCTCCTGCAGAAGCGTGCGATGACGGGCCCAGCGCACCGCGAGCTGTTAGCCTCGGTGCTGCGCAGCCACATCGTGATGTGTCACACGCTGCTGCCCGCCGACCTCGCCCGACCCCGAAACCTCACCTCACTGTCGGGCACCGTGATGACCACCCGCAGCCAGGAGGTGACCAATCACAGAGCAGCCTGGAACTATGGAGCCATAACAGATTCATCATATCACATTAACTCTAGTAGCCCTTACAAAAACTTGATTAGAATCCTTATTTAAAATAACCCAATCAGAGAGCAGAGTCTGGGCAAGGGGCGGGGCTAACACTAACAATCGATCGATCAAGTAGTCGTGAAAAATCTGTTTCTATGATCAGTTTCTATGAAGGTATTCTCACTTTCTAAAATGTGAACATGAATGAGAAATGCCTTCATTATAATCCCTTACCCAATCAGCTAGCTAATGCTAACGCTAACGGCTCCTTTACTGACCATAATGTTGGAAATCCTTACCTTTTTATTCTCGGAGAAATCAAGACCTGGTGACCGACTTTTTTCGATGAATATACTTTTACTTTAGTGATCCTCTGATGAACATTAACGTAATATTTATGCATTAATTATAACCCCAAATCAACCAGATAGACTGGAAGACCTCGGGACGTTTGAGGGATGAAGGCTAACGTCCTCTATTGGTACTTTCAGGGCAGCATCTTCATCAACGATGCTAACGTGACGTACAGTAACGGCGTCAGCGTGAACGGGGTCTTCCACGAGATCAGCAAGTTCCTGGTGTCTCCCTTCCCGGTCGATAATCTTCCCGCCACTCTGGTCAGAACCTCAAACGGATGAAATATATTTTTATTTTGTGGGATTCATTTCCTGTAAACTCACATTCTGGATGTTTGTGTAACGCAGCTGAACCTGACGGACGTAGCCGAGCGTCATGGGTATAAAACCTTCTTCAAACTGCTGCAGGTGAGAAAATAACACAATGTCTAACGCTGGTGATGATATCCTGTTGAGTCCTTCAGCTCTCATATCTAAAGTCAGAGAATGAATCCATGAGTCTCCTGGTTTCAGGACTCCGGGCTGATGGACCTGCTTCAGGATCACATCTTTCAGCCGGTGACGCTCTTCATGCCTTCAGACAAAGTCATGGCCGCCCTGCCGAAGGAGCAGAGGGACTTCCTGTTTCACCCAGACAACCGGGCCAAGCTGACCGAGTACCTGAAGTACCACATCCTGCAGGGCCGGAAGGTAAGCTAGAGCTAATTAAACCTGAAGTACCACATCCTGCAGGGCCGGAAGGTAAGCTAGAGCTAATTAAACCTGAAGTACCACGTCCTGCAGGGCCGGAAGGTGAGCTAGAGCTAACTAAACCCAAGGTTCCAAGTCCAGAAAGTGAGCCAGAACTAACTATACCCAAGGTACCAAGTCCAGAAAGTGAGCCAAAACTAACTATACCCAAGGTACCAAGTCCAGAAAGTGAGCCAGAACTAACTATACCCAAGGTACCAAGTCTAGAAAGTGAGCCAGAACTAACTATACCCAAGGTACCAAGTCCAGAAAGTGAGCCAGAACTAACTATACCCAAGGTACCAAGTCCAGAAAGTGAGCCAGAACTAACTATACCCAAGGTTCCAAGTCCGGAAAGTGAGCCAGAACTAACTATACCCAA